CTTGAATCTTTGTTTTTATTTCCCGTGGGCTCATGAAATTCAAAAATTATCATTTTATTTTTATTGTATTATTTATATTGAACATTTTAATTTTCAAAACTTTTTTTTGGGGGGTGAAATTTCCATTTTCCATTGATATAAAGGGAGTGATATATTTAATTAATAAATTTCCGATAAGAATTGTTTGAGGCAAAACCAAATTGTTTAAATCAACGCAATCGGAGAATTGTATATATATCTATATATCAAAAGTTGATTTAAAATTGTACTAATACCATATATCGTAGCAAATTTGCAATGTGTCGCTGATAGTAGTCTTTTTCCATTCCTTTTTTTGTGAAATACCGCTCTTTTCTTCAACTTTTCAACCAATTGATTTGAAAGTTTTCGTGGTTAAGGATTGTTGGTGTCACTGGACGGTTATTTCTTCCATTTAGTTTATAAAAATAGAGATGTGGGCTATATAACATTTGTTTTTCACTTTTGTTTGATGACGTAATCGAAATTAATTATTGCTCACTGTGCCGTTGTAAAGAGAAGCAAATCGAATCAGCATATTCACGTATTTAATTACCGTTAAACTATGCATTTAATCAAAATATATTGAATTTAACTGTACTTTTATTGGCTTTTTATTGAACAGGGTAATTCATTTGTGACCACCACCTATATATTTATGTCGTTTGGAATACTTGGTAACACTTTATGCCAGTGTTGACTATTATATATATATATACAACTTTGAACATTTTATATATGATTCTTGATGCAGCATTCAATTTATTGCGAATAGCAGAAAGTTTGCAGATGTTTAATATAAAGAGGCATATTATATATATAAATTTGATACAAGATAACAATACTCAAATAGGCATATATGAAGACGGATATCAAAACGAGGTGGTGCGGCCATGGGTATGCAATCAGTCACATGAGACTACTTGTACCGCAGTCTTCACGACTTCGCATGACGAATGCCAACCCGTAACCCGCACAAGTAGCGCAAATTTTAATTTAAATGACGTCATCGCAATAAAAAAGTTTTGACAAGTTCTTTCACTTCAGAAAACCATGCCGAATCTATAGCTCTATAAATCAAGATCGAGGCCGTTGATTATCGTGATATTCCAAAAACGGGCTTGCACGAACCCAAGAGATTCCGTGTATCCAACCATTTTATACTGAAGCGTTTACAATAATGATAATCTATTAGAGTCATTAACAGTTCAAGTGCTTCGTTGCCAATTGAAACAAAACATAGTATGTGTACCAGGTTAGAGTTAGGCTATAATTTTATTCCAATTTTCCTTCAATTATATTACGAGTTCGAGGACTAGCCAAGTGACTCCCGTAGTATTAGTACCTGAAATTATGGCATAACCCTAACCTGGTACACATACTACGTTCCGGTGTCCGCCATCTTGGTTCTCATACTTCAGGAGTACCCAAAATTGCTCTATACTTAATCTAATTTACCCTGTTACACGCGCTCGTGTTTGAGAACCGTTGATACAGAGTGACAGAATCTGATCTCAGCCATGACAAGAAACGTGGCTTCAAATTAAATTATTTTTTCGAATTTGAAGTTTCGAAACTGTAATTCACGATTTATGATAATTGATTTAGGATTTATGATGAAAATTCAAGGATTTTGTTGTAAAGGTATTACTTCATAAAAAATTATATAGGATGAATTTTTCATACAAAGGAAAAGTATGTGAGACTGTAAGACGGATTTATCATACGGCAAAATAAAACTTTCATTCAGTATACTAACTCACAAGAAACCAGATAAGATTCTATTGATAAAGTAAAAAACGATGACCTATGTGCCTAGATCTTAGATGATCCCCTGTTTTCAGTGTTTCTCCAATTCAGGACTAGGTAGTGGATCCGGGAAATTTTAAAATGTGCACAGAGGTTTTTATTGGTCCTACAGTAGATTTCACGAAAAGTGCGTGACTGAAAAAGAATCAACGTTTGGAAACACAAATAGATAAATAAACAAAAGAATTAGTTTTGTCACGAAAACTTAAACTGTAGCTTTGATAATAGTAATATAAAACATTTTTATGATACTCAAAATTTTTTATTAAGCGTTTGTGGACCTAGAATTTCTTTTGACGCTGAACACGGACCACAAGAGAAGGAACGTTGAGAACCGACGTATCAGTCGATATTATACTGATAAGATTTCCAAGTAAAGTATAGAAATCTTTAAAACGGATGACAAATGTATGTGTGTCTCACCGTTTACAAATTCGGTGAGGCCCGCGCTCGCTTCATCTGCAATAAAATGACTTTATATAAGATATTTATAAAATGATCCCGCCTATTACTAACAAACTTCGTTTTTTCCTCATGAGAATAATACTCTGTGATTAGTATTATGGCCATGGATAGACGTGAAAAAGATGAAGAAGGTAGCAGACCCGAAACTTTGCTTCAGCAATAAATAAAAATAATATTAAAACGTAGTGTAACAAATTTTTAATTTGAGTCGCCCATTATAAACTAGACCAATAATAAAATTATATACCATTATTATCTGCTAGCATTTATTCATTTTCTATATTTGTTTTTTAATAATGGCGAATAAAAAAACAATAATATTGAAAATATTTATCAAAAATATGCAAACAAAGTTGTTACATCTTTTCATGGTTTGAATACATTAATATTTTTTTAATTTTAAAGCGTTAATTTTTTCTAATAACTCATTAATTAAATTATATAAATAAATTGTCACCTCCTTAAATACTTAATGGATGTCCAATTGCATCGTGCATTTTTTTCGTGCCCAATCAAGAATAATGGCAGCTGAAACTAGACCTTTGTATCCCAGAAATAAACAAAACAACAAACAAAATATTATAACAAGCCATTGAATTACCACTAATCGTAAATTTCAAAGAATATTACATATAATCCATTTGCCATACGATCTTGCTTCCTACAGCACGATATTTATAGTTGAGTTTTTTTTTTCATCCAGTAAAAAATAACATATAAAACTGACAAAATACAAAATTAATCACACAAGAAAACTAGAGTTACAGTATTTTTGTAAACCATATGAAATGAAATTATAAACAAGATTTCATTTTTATCTCTACAGATAATAAAACATATGATATTAAAATTTTAACGTTCATATTTTCTACGAGGAGGTATTTGCACATATTTTTAAGTTTAAGGAGAAATTGGTTAAAACTATTTTCTGTCCGGAGACTGACCTTTGAGTTACTGGCGGGTGGGCTACGCACCTGCCTATGCTGAAATTTAATTTGAAAATTTAAAGTTTTTATCCAATCGATAGTGGGGATTGTGGGGATTCTTGGAGCGTCATAATAATCAGCCAACTGGTTTTTGCTTTGCTCTTCGTTTTATTTTGCGATTGTTTTCTAAAAAGAAGGAATCTGTTCTAGGAAAGTTTGATACATAACAGAACATCCGGTATTCCTGAAAATTTCAAAGATATCGATCCAGCAGCTGAAAAGAAATTAATTTCATAACAATAAAAACCACAACGATATAATAACAAAAACGCAAAACTGAGCATTATTACAACAGTAGTTAAATTACAAATGAAGCAAGATCATTATGCCACAATTACTTCAGAATCGGAAGTAATTCGGATTTTGATTTGGCAACGCAGGAAATTTGAACTTAAGGTCATTTCGATGACTCTAATAAATTATTGTGACTGCAAACTACATAAGAGTATAAAAAAGATCATAAGAGCAGTGGTAGGTGCGGGTTTTGCGAGTATTCGCCTAAACGAACGACATGTTGTGATAATGAGCGAACCCGATATAGATAGCTAAAGGGTCGGCATGGTTTTCTGGAATATCACCCAAATTAGATTGAACATTGTACCATGAAGTCATATAGTAAAGGCTGAAGTTATACATTTATACTTAATATAACTAAATTTGAGTTATAATGGTTAAATGCATAGTTTAACAATAATTAAATCTGTTACTAAAGTAATGTAGTTTATCTAATGTAGAGTCCAATTTAGTCTATTTATTTATAAACATAATCGAAAAGGAAAGCATTCCTTGAGAAAAACTATTACGTATTATATTAAAAGTGTGAATGAACTTGAACACTTTTAAAGCTATGTTTTATAAATTATTCCATGTTCTGAATTTTTAAACTTTAGGCGACTGCAGCAATAATGGGTAACATTCACGCATCTGGTGATTAGCCTTATATTTGGATTGTGTATTAGGTTAGTGTAAAGCGTGTTATGTCAATGTAGTTTATGTCAGTGATTCCCAAAGTGGGCGATATCGCGATTACATCGTTTCATGAAATTAATAAATTAGATGAATTGCGACGCAATAAAAGTACTTGCAAAATCTCGCAAAGTTCTAGTGCTTTGACACGCACAGTTTGGGAACCACTTTATTAGTCATTTTAAAAAATGTTCGTTGATAGTTTATTTTCTATATTCCATCATCTCAAACATTTCGCAAAATATTGAGCATGCCAATCCAGCCCAATCCAATAATTTCTAAATTATCATCTTTGTTTCATAGAGTCCTTATTTCTATGCATTTAAAATGAACACAGACAAACCAACGTTATATGGAACAAAAAATATAAAATTTATTCACAATTTTATTATAGAAAAATCAAAATCATCTTATTGGAATTGAAATGTGGTAGGCCCTATTACAATTTTTTTTACTTGATGAAATACCAATCAAAAGTAGAGAAATTACATATTATATATTATTATTCATCACATTACCATTTCTATAATGAATCCGTGTGACAACGGCCAAATACGGATCCAAAATAGAAAGTAGACTAGAAAAAAGAATCAACAGTTCAATTCACAATATCCTAGTACCCTCGTCTATATGTTTATATACAGAAAAAAAAAACGTTTTTTACTTATATAATGTTATTTATCACTTTAATACTATCCTATTCTAGCATTTATGTGCCAACGGCCACACATGAATCCAAAATAAGAAGTAGACAGGGAAAATGAACCTGCAATACGGTACACACTATTCTATCATTATATAATATTAACATTGTCCATTGTATGTTAAGTTAAGTAATAAAAGTTAAAAAGTTAAGTTAGGTAATAAAAATCTAATTCAGCCAGGGAGTTTGGTTCGTTGGTAACCTAATAATCCAAGTATCGATTGGTGATGTATTAGTTGAACGACCCAAATGTACTCTTTTATTGCGATCTGAATCCAATTTATATTTCCATTGATTACGACGTTGATCTGAAAAATTAAATATTCTCTGTTAAACACTTATAAATAGTATACGAAATTGCTTTGTTACAGGTTGTTGTTGTTGTTTTTGACAAAAACCTTTTTTTTCTGTTCAACTGCTAGAGACAACCTTGTTATTTTTTACAGTATTACTTCTTTTTCATGTGTTTACGTGTTTTTCACTAATCCAAGCAAATTTTTAAAATTATTATTTCTAATGCGACCTTTATTGAACATATTCTATAATATTTGATATTTTTTCTACATGTGTTTAGTATTTCCTAACTGATGAAATTGTCAAAAGCATTACCAGTAATTTTGATATGATGTGGAGAATTGACAAATTTTCTAAAAACAATACTTACTTCTCAGGTCTGTCAGGTCTTTGTTGAATTTTGAGGCTTTGTGTGTAGCTGAAAATGTAATTCAACATTCAATAAATAACTTGTGTTTGTCTTTTGTGCTAAATCGTCCTGAATATTTGATCACTCAGATTAATTTTTGTCATCAAGGATGGGACGAAGTCATTACCACGAATCTCCATTTTTCCATCTTTTAAGCTTAAATGAACATTTTTGCTCATATATCATTATTGCTAATTAAGGACCGTTTTGCGTGTTTTTTAGAAACATATTTTTTCGTATGGGCTTGAATGGGAAAGTTTGGATTTCTTTCTCCGAGTTGAAATTTAAAAATTATCACGACGGAAGCATCACTAGTAATGACAATCGAGTCAAACCATGGTTACACGTTTAATTGATTTATCCGTATGTGGATTCTCTAGAAATCGTGTTGAAGAGGCGACTTAAGGTTGGCTTAGTCAATGTTTGACACAAGTCTTCCTAAATAGGTTCGTTATTAAACAATGTACTTACTTATACGATTTCTGTATTTTCTGATAACGCCCCCTCGTCTTACGGTTGCTCGGATTGCTGTGAAAGAAAAATTTTCAAGTCTGACAAGAATTTGTGCAGTCTATTTTTTTTTAAGTTTCAGTTTTTATGTATTCTATCACTTTCACCAGATTTTGATATAATTTTTCTTAATTAAATATTATCACGCATTGAATATACTTATTTGACTCAAAACACCCGAATACGCATTTCGCAATATTTGCTTTCAAAATTCGCTATTAAAACTGGAATGTTAATATAGACCTATGTATGTTAATAAAAACGTCGCCCAGAAATACGCATCAGGTTATGTTTTTAATAAACGACGATATTTCTTATAGCACATATCACCCTAATTTTCGAAATAGGCAAATAGGATTTTTACGTTTTATAAATACAAGTAGCAATGATCAAATCGCACTTTACGTGAAGGTTTGCTTTATTATTCGGATATTGATTTAATTCTAATATTATTACATCTAGTATAATTCCACATTGATAACATATTTTTTCCTACAACTGGAACAATCACAATCTTCCGTTTATTTTTTACTAATACTTTCAAATAGCAATTACCTTCTATTTGAATAGATCCAAAGAATACCGCAAAAATGAATAACAAGACCAAAAAGCTGTTTATATTCATCTCAATTTACGCTGTATCACACGTTACAGACGCTTCAGATTGCAACAACGTTGAATGTACTTTTGGTTATATGCATGGTTATATGTGCGTAATAGGACATATGATTAATTCTGATACCAGCCTTGTATTAGTAACATTTCCTGAAATTGTTACAGTTTGACGTCAATGGTTTAAAGTTTGAACCTTCAATTTATTTAACAAAGCAAAACTTATTATTCGTGAAATAGAATACTGATATTAATTTACAAATATGAGCAATTGAAACTCATAGCCTATTATCGTAAGATAAATATATAATTCAAAGATTCGATACTTAGATTCGATTTAACTACTAATTAATAATATCAATGCTCGCTGGTATTGGTTTCTCTGCGTCTCCGTTTACCCTGAAATTCAATTCCCGATTCACGATGTTGCCATCATTAAGCTCTGTTAACTGTGTATATTATTTGTATGACAAGAAATATTTCATTAATTACTGATTATTTTCATAAAGCTAGTTAATCTTTGTCTAGAATTTACGTTTATGGTTGTATTCCACGTGTTCCATCAATAAGATTAATATCCAATCGTCTACTACCAGAAGAATATATTTCCAAATTTTATTACGAAACAAAAAAAAATAGATTTGCTACTTTGATTCTGATTATATATATGAAATATTATTTATTATAAATTTTGCTCAATCAGACTCATTATTCAGCGCATATTTACAAAACTCAAAATGGTCTTCTATTAATAGAACTACAAAACATTTTAAAGCAAAAAGATTCTGATTAGTTGCGGTAGTTCTAATTTGATACAAAGAATAGCAATTCATTTATAATTTATCATTGTTGTTTATTATCATGAGGTGCTTCATAGCAAACAATATATTTCTAGGCAGGCATATATGCGTAAAAAAACGTTTGGTATCTTAACCCTTTTCAAGCAAAATGATACAATATTGTAACCTCGGTAGCTGAGAAATGTGACATACTGGTTAATTAGCAACTACAATAAAGTACGGAAGTCTCCCCGATACATGAGAAGCCATTCACAAATACTATGACATAAGCAGTGAGCATGTTGTATGTATTGAGTCGATATCAAAAACTTTAAAAATTTGTTAAAATGTAATAAAATTCTTCTAGTATTTAATATTAACTGATTTAATTAGCTAATTGGCAAAGTTAAACTTTTAATTTACAATTTTACCCCGTACTAAATTTATGAGTTTTAAGATGGGGAACACCAGTTTCAATTTTCACTGATTCAGTTGCCATTATAGCAACTTCATGTTCCATATTGTGATGAGAGATTCGTTGACGTATTTATCAACGTTTTGGTAAAGAATTGACAGATTTAAAATGTGGTGGAATTTTGTTTGATGTTGTGCCGTAAGTTGAGAACTTCAGAATATTATTCGTTTCAAAGTTTTCTACCTGAATATTAATATCATGTTGTAAAGTTGGCTTGGCCCTTCACTCAAAAGAGTGCTGTTTACAAACGGCCACAGATAGGCAAAAAGGTATTATGGTTCTGAAGAAGTTTTTGGCATTGCCTAACATTAATTACAAGGTATATAAGTTTAAAGCTCTATCAGATCATGTCTACAACAAAGTACGCACTTTGTAACTTTCTGAAAGTTAATCAACAAAACTGTATTCTCGGTGACTCAAAAAAGATTTATGATTATGATTTACCAGTTCGATACGGGATTCAATATTACTCAGTCACTTATAATGAATATACTATAAAATCACTGATATTGAATAAACTGAGTATTCAGTTTGAAAAAAAAAATCGAAGTGTATTGTTGAAAAGTATAGAAAATTATTTATTGAGTTTAATATGCTCCATGTTCGTAATTAATTTATACCATTAACAAGTGAAATTTTCACTTTACAGATGTATAGACAAATATTAATTCTCACATTAGTCCTGTTTGTTTGCATATCTGACGGACTAAGAAATAGGAAATTTGGAGTACAAAATGAAAATGATTACAACGATGGGGAAGATTTAAGGTTTGATTGCAGTTTCTGATTTTAGATTAAATTTTACAAATTTGATTTACGAGTCTTGTGAGGTACTCCCACACGCTAGGGTTATGCATTAATTTTACTTCCTCATTTTGGTTTTAATATGATTTCGGGCAATGTCTATGTTAGTCAAATGAATATAGTCCCCGCTCATAGGATTCAGCGAACAAAAATAACTACCTCCATATTGGTACACACACGCGGCTGGTGTCATAATAAATCTATATTGACTTTGATAAATTAAATATATTCAGACGGAATATAAATATGGATCGTTTTTTCTAAATCCTTGTAGTTGTTGGAAGAAAACGATTTTCCCATAGAATTTACTAAAACGCTACATACTTTATTTAATTCTCTCATTATAACTTTGAGCTTTCTCGCCTAGCTAATTCGATGATCGGCCTTACCGTATTGTTGTGGTCCATATGGTACCATTGCTGTCTTTTTAATTAGAAAAACGCATTCACGCATAGGCTCAACTGTCAAGTTGTTTATTTCTTACTTTAGAAAAATTAAAAAAAATTCTACGATTGAGTTTCAAATGTTAAGAGATAATTTATACCAAACTTGAAACGCACACTCATAAAAAGATTGTATTATTTAATATCACTACATCTATGAAATATTTTCACTAAAGTTAAAGCTTTCTCCATTAACAGTCTCAAAATCCAAAACATTTACCTATTCACAGATATTATACATGAACTATACGGAAATAATTCATCATATTTGTCTCAGGTTACAACAAAATGACTACGACACGCCATACGCGACGAATTATAACTCCAGATATTATGGTCATAGACGATCGCATAACAATGGATTAAAATGTTCAAAGACTTCTGGATACCACAAATGCAGGTAAAATACATTCCTCTCTAATACACTGAGACAAGTCTAACAATCTATGTTGAAAGTTAAACAAACTATTTAAATTAGGTTCAGTACATAGGTTCTATACAGTTGTATTTATCTTGACTTCTATTGTTTATTCAATGCTTTATGTCTGTAACTACATTCATAATGTTGTCTAAACTATATCACACGTGCTTCTTCCAGTAAAAAACATATGTTGTTGTTTTTATTATTCATAAACAACATTTCAACGCCGGCAAATAAACATGTGCATAGAAGAAAAAAAAATTGAATAAGTATCTAGGTATTTTACAGCTGTATACTGCAGTTTTGTGTATAAAGACACTTAGAAACTTTTCGTTAATATTCATTTTTCTAAATGCTATTTTCGCATGATATTACTTTTTTCAAGTTTTGTTTGCTCCCCAGAATTCTTTATTTTTGATTTAAGTGCATTTCAAAGTTTTCAAAAGGAACTGTTCATTTAAAAATGGGTATACCTACATATTGAACCTTAACTGTTCTTGCAATAGTTTATTCTTTATTCTACACTACAGATCTTATCGAGTGCGTCACCTCAGTTCCGCAACTTGTCGTCTTTTAGGAAGCATAATTGTATTAAACGAAGATTTTGAAACACGTAGATGCGTCAAATATTGCTGTCCGAGGTATGGAAAAATGTTTAAAATCCCTTTTACACCAATTTGGGTTTGATTGAAATTTAATTTTATGATACCTTATCTGCATTTTATGAGCCTTATCTGCACAATAATTTATAATCGTGATCTAAATATTAAATTTTATATTACTAACTAAGACCAAACAAACATATTATTACGTAAAACTAAAACAACGCTAAACGTAAATCTCAATTCAAAAATTCAAGGTTTTCTGTTAAATGCATTTACTTATAAAAGTTTAAGCCTTGTAAGATTTTTCTTTGAGAGGTTCCGCGAGGTATTTATACGAGTTAGGCTTCTTTCAAGAAAGCGTGAATACAACCAACAGGAATCAAATATTCAAGCTATACATGAACGCAAAAGGTGACTCGTCCTGTTTATGAGTGCACTAATAAAATTAATGATCATATCACAAATTGTTGTTCTATCTCAACGGTTTTACAGTGAATTGCGGAAATTTTTTTCGTTAGGTTACCGTTGCTCGTTCGACATCACAAGCCTGGAGCAACAATACCCAACTCAGTCACTGCAACGTCGACAAAACATGACCCAACGAATACAATCCCTATACCAGCTAATATAACCAAAGTTAAAGAAAACACGAGCATAGAAAAAAGAATAAGCACCACAAAGCCAACTTCCCCAACACCAAAGAAGAAAAATTCGGGTATTTTTTTTACTTTATTTAGGTTTTAGAACATATAGGCGTTTTTTACCTGAATTTAGAACCTGATCGCATACTTGTCTCATATCTATTTTTACCCTTTTATTTTTATACGACATTTTTTGAAGTTTTTCACCATATAACACTTTATAATCAATCATTACTAAACTACTTTGGAAGGACCACAATCATTCGTGTCCTGCATTGCCTACCAATTTGTTAAACCATGCGTCAGTTGCTTGGTATGGGCTTTGAACCCTTGATTCATTTGATCCTACAATTATTTTGATCCTATACCAAACTCCAGTAACCCTAGCATATTTGTTCATTCTCCAAGTTTGAAATGTATAATTTGCAGTATTAATCAACGCCAGTTAGATGGAAAAAAACGTATTATGTAAATATTTCAGACGATAAAAGCAGAATTTTCTTGCATAAATCTCTCGAGAATGCAAATGTAGAAGATGGCAATTTGGAAAAAGACCTTCTTGCTATTCTCCAGAAAACAAAAAATACAATGACTGAAAATCCTAGCAGTGAAGAGGATATACTTGTGGAACAATTAAGAAAACTAACATGAATATATTTTAAGAGGATTCGACTTAACACATAAATACAAATGTATGAACTGACTAAGGACCAATAATACTCAACATTTCACAGCCATTAACAGAAAAATTAGAAGTTTTTTGTTTTCTGAAAAATGTATTTTTTCACATAATTTTTTGAAATACATTTATAACAGCAACCCGTAATAAGTTGAATAATTTACTGAATTTCACTAAAGAGGGAACAGTTATAAGAGTGCTGAATGTGTTATGTACAATAACATGGATAACAAAAATATTAAAAAAAATGTACACGAGCATGAAGTTTGATATTACTGATCATTTTAGGATAAATGTTATTCGACCTTTCCCAAATTGCAAAAACTTTGTTTTAGATAATTTTATTTTAATTTTATTCTTTATGTTTAAAGAAAATTGTTATTGTTAGTAATTGATTGAAATGATTATCACTGATATGGATGTTATTTCAGAGGATCCATCGTTTATATGTAAAGATACCAGTCAAATTGGGGGATTTTCTGACTCAAATTAATAAAAAAATTGGGTACTCCTTAAGTATGCGCATCAAGATGTCGCACAACCTGAATCCAAACCTGGTACGCAACCGGAGTTCAGGTTGTGCGCCATCTTGGTGCGCATACTTCAGGAGTTCCAAAAATTAAAATATATAAAACCTCGACGAATATAGTCGATATAATCATAATACACTACGAGTCGAAATATACAATAAAAATCTGGACAGTTCAATGCAACGCGGGGTTTGTATAAAATATTGATAAAACTAATTCACATAAGGGTTTTTAAAATATAAACTATAGAAAAAAAAATATAGAAAATATAGAAAGATTACAGTAATACATTTTTTCCAGTTTGCAGCAGGGCCTTTGAATTATATAGCAAAAACACTGAGAAAAACTAGTAGAATTGTTTGTTGTCGTGTATTTGTTTCAGAATACGCAACTTATATGAATCTTACTTGCCCCTGACGATCAATAAAAAATCAGTCTGAACTCCGATTCACTATTTTAATCTGACAAAACATAGAGTACTCACTCAATATTGGCTTTCAAAAGTTTGGAAAGTTTGAACATAATTAAAGCTGGTTGTTAAAAGCCTTCTTTGGGGTCGAAACAACTACTTGTTTAGAGAGTATTATGAGAAAAATAAATCGTCAACGACCCACACTATACAATACTCTGAAAACGATTGAAATGAATTTTAAAAAGAATAAGAATATATTTAGTATGTTCTCTTTGTTGAATCAGCCCCTAGACAAGACTCATTTTGTAACAGTTTCAATTCGACTCGCAGTCGTGGCTTTGGGTTTGTCGTTTCTAAGGGAAACGTCTCATGGAATGGCTCAGCAGTCATCACACATTTTCGATGAGATTTTATATCTAAATATTCATTTTGTGGCGCGTCAAGGAAAAAATTTAAATATAAACATAGCCTTATTGATTTACGATTGGTTTCAAAGCTTGGCCATTTAACTGTCACTCCTAAAGGGAAGGTTTTTAGTTTTCTGATTCATTGAATTACTGAAATTCTCTGGCGGTTGGTTATAATCTCGGCAATGTATTAGGTAGTGTGATACGGTCTTAGATACAAAACACTGTCCGCAGAGGTAACTTGTTTTATAAGATTAAAATCCATGGCGCAATATCTAGTGAAAGACGAAATAACGAACTTGATATTCATGAGCGATATGATTGTGTTATGTCGCGTTTAAGTTCGGAATAGATTCATTACAGTTATTTTCTCAATCGCTATTGATAGCTTATGATGAGCTCATCAGTTTGTAATTATTTATGAATGTAATCTTCAATTTGAATAAATTTCGTATGTGTTCAATCCTGCATCGTTTCCATCCAAGTCCTCGTAACTGTCGTCTCCACACATCATGTTTCCACCAGCATTGATCGGATTTAAGTTATGATTAGTGTCCGCTGTCTCCATGACTGATGTACTAGCAAACTGCGCCATTTCATACTGGGCTGAAATAGACATTGAAGTATCAACGTCAATATAATGACTACATTACCTAAAATAGCTTGATTTTGTTTTTTACTAGACATTATTTAGGGCTTGAATTTTTTCAATGAAATAAACAAGAATAAGAGTTATTGTACGAATAAAAAATATTGAATTACTTATATTAAAATTTTCAGTTTTTGGTATAATCTTGAAAATTTTCAAATTGGAACAAATTCAGGCATTTAGATTATATGTTAATATAGCGCTCAGTTATCACAAAATCTAAATCACTTATTGTATGCACTGCATCTTCACAAATGGACTAATTGTTTCTAGTTTTTTAGTAGAAGATGAAAGTATATCATAAAGTAATAAAACTTTCATAAGATCATAAGATGTTTCTATCATTTTACCAAAACACATTTTTAAACATTGGCTCACTCAAAAATTGGAATCTGAAGGTTTTGAAACTATATGAAGTGATCAACCTTTAACAAATGCTACGCGCAATTTCACAACTACACAGTGACATAACCCTCGATCTCCGACCTAAATTGTCAACATCCTTGAAGTAGCATTCTGAAAATGAATATAGGCCAATACACCACGTACCTGTTGCATTTGTAATACCTTGATTCGGATTCGCGTGAGCAGATGAAGCAACATGTCTTTTCATTCTGGAAAGCATATAGTTTTTATGAAATTGATGATGAGTATGCAGTTTCAAACAGAAAATACGGTGCATGGATACTGATAGTTTTAGGTACCGGTATACAGTAGACCTACCTAACATACAGTCCACCTCATTCGTTCAGATAGAGGCTAAATACGTCAAATAAACAAATTTATCGATAGGTAAACTGACATGTTTGGCTTAGATAGTGGCGGATCTTGAGTAACCTAATACTGCTAAAATGGTAAAATTAAATCTATGCATTGATCGAATTTTCTAATAAATTATTGAAAGTCAGACCGTATAAGTATTAAATATTTGCCCATGTACATGTCAGTCCACATAAAACTAAAATAATTGAAAACAGATGTCAGCATTTTAGCAAATTCTTTTAACTTTAAATACTGAATATTAAAATCGATTAGTTCACTAGAAAGGCGTTTTTTCTTAACAACAACAACAAACGAAACAACAACAACAATTTAGCAAAACAAATTATATGTACACTCCATGCCTTTTTATCCTATAGAAACCCACCTCAAAAATTGTGTCCTGTAATACATCATATTCCAAACTGTTAAAACCAAAATTATGGTAGGAACGATCAGGCCTATTATAAAGCTTATGACGTCAAACTGAAAGTCAGCATCACCTGCAAATAATTGAACAGTTGAATAGTTTTAATCCTCACTTCAAAAAGAGCAAATACAAACCACTCACTCATACGCAAAGCCTTGTGTATCTGCTTAACATTGTATTAGTCAGAAGGAAGTAAACAACGGCGTAACAATTGAAATTTCAGAAACTGCTTCAGTCAAATACATCTACAGACATGGTTTTTAACATAGCGTATTTTTGCCAGTTGTATGACATTTTGTAATTTTGAAAAATACGTATTAATCGAATTTCTCAATGATCATTTTCTTACGAGTAGTGTGAATTTAGTTGCAGTAAATCATGCTTAATACCCCAAAAGCCGCGGTGTAATAGGCTTTATTTTGTTTTCGGTACTGTGGTAGGTGGTTGAATATTTTGAATCAAAAGAATTGTCATAAATTCCAAATCTCTTCGTTAGAACCAACTCGTAATACACTTTTGGAAGGATCATAAAAAGAATTTGCAATGGTAATATATTGAAAGAATTTACTGTATTGAATCAGTACTGAAATATTTACCATGTTGTTTTTTTGTTTCCGTGATGTTAGATTGGTATAAATGGGTAACAGCAATCACAAAATGAGTCCAACCTTGCGATGTAAGCGTTATGGGGAATATATCTTTGCTCATCATCATATGAACGCTGGCACATTCATTTGAAAAAATTTCTATCAAGTCTGAAATTGATATATTCTCTGACTTGAGCAAAAAACATTGGTCTTTATCTTGTATTGTTAGGTCCCGTGTCCAACTCGGCCCTATAAAAACACGAAAGATATGGTTAGACGCGTGATAGGTTTCATTCTGTTCGCACGACCCGTTCATTAAATGTCGCGTGAATTTGCTTATCCGAACCTATTTTTACAACTATGAGTTTGGAACGATTTTTCTGAAATGAGCGAAACAGAACAGGAATCCAAGATGCCAGCTATTACAGACCAGCAAATATTAACCTAGTATCTGAGTTGAGACCAATTTTGCTTCGTATTTGAATACAAACACTACGAATAACAAAAGACAATCGTAGAAAGTAAATGTACATGAATATATAAATCCCTCCATGCATGGAAACATTGCATTTTTTTCAACATTGCAAATTCCAATATAAAACGTAAATCAGGATTTAAATGTGAACACAAAAAATATTAGAAGAGAGAAACAAATTCTAAAATCATAGACGAGCTATTAAACAACATACCTTCTTTTCACACGGAAAATTAATAGCAGCAGCCAAACAAATAGTTACAGAATAAATTTGGGTTGGTGTGCAGCAAGACTCTTGAAACTTACAGATAGCCATCTTCATTCTTGCTACTGCATCTTTACATTATACACATACGGATTCATCTCCACGAATGCATATAGAACAAGAAAAGGTATTGGGTTCCCCGCAACCCCAACTGATAAATATATTTACATATGTAATTTTACCATCCTTTATATTTTGTAAAATATGTTCCGTCTTCATAAAAATCACTCAGACACGGTTTACCATTTTTGCAAAAATCGGACTGGGACGGAATATATTACATAAGAAAATTAAACCGTGTGTTATTTAAAAAATAGAAAAATAAACAAATCCTAACCTGATACTGTTAGTGGCGGTGCGTAGCTTATTGACCCAAACGTAAAATCTTGGCTACATGGATTAAGTGCTCGTATGATTGTAATTTTCAGCAACCATTGATCGTTTTGAGAATTGCAATCTCCTGTCAGTTTCCATGTTTTATCTCCCTCAAGAGATATTGAGTTAGTATCATTGGAGCACACATCGATCTCTATATCTTCGGCATGGGCAATAGTAAGAGCCACTGTGAACAAAAAGTAAATTTCTTATTGATACTGGTATATATAGCAACCACTAGTTCACAAACTACTAATGAAAAATCTGATATTAGATTTGTTACACATTGGTATTTTTTAGATATACTTGACTCTGCAAGTCTTTAAATCTTTGTTTTATCTCCTGCATTCACGTCACAAACCCGACTTTAAAAAAAAAACGGGAAGCAAAAACGTCGTTTTTTTGTCCAATATTTTCTGCGGATAGAGTCATGAACAATGGTCGAGTACAGGATATGCATTTCGATCTGAACAAAACTCTATACAGCTATCCACGACAACCAGAAATATTTAAACTGCAATACTAACATAATTAATCAAAAGAATAATCACAGGGCATCGCGCTGTTTTATCGCGTTTCTTTTTTCCGTGCCATCAGTCTTTTTTACAAAAATTTTTTGCACGCACATGGAAAGCTCCGAGCTAGTATGTTTTAATTTTTATCACGCAAATTATCAGCATTTAGTAAGTCTTCTTCTATCAGTAAATCTCACCTATAATCACAAAGATTGCACGTGTTATCATTTTTCAGATGATCCAATAAAATTTTCCTTATCAACTTTACAGTCTGTTGCTTGCCTTCACTTTCTAAGTAATACCTATTGAAATAGACTTGACAGTGTTACTGGAATTTCCGGTTTGAAATTTCTGTAGCCAACTTCAGGTTTCAATAATGAATACGGTGAATTCCTTCTGCATAGAATTGATATCACAAGATTTCAGTATGCTATTTATAGCATTGTTCGAAATATCATACGTTTTAAAATGCATTTTGAATTACATCGATCTTCATATACATTTGGCTTATGACCGTATTCTGTGTATCTAATGCTAAGTATGTCTAAAGAAGATGTTAAACATAATAAATATTTATCAGTGGCGGAACTGAAAATTAAAAAATAAGTTATCCTTTGTATCGAACTCACTAAAGACAGGTTTCTTTATTTTAGAAAATATTAAAATATTTGAAAGTCACTATGCAGGATACATTAACATGACACGTTTTACACAGATCCAATGTATATTCCAAATATAACGCTATTCTCCAGCTGCGGTGTATGTAGGC